ACACAAAAAAAGCATTAACTGGAAGTTTGACTCGAACAACATGCAACAGAAGAAATGGTCTTCTCAGGTGGAGGTCCAGGCCTGCTACTAAATTAATCAAGACATGCAAAGAAACTAAATCAAGACACCAACCTACTTTACAGCAACTCTTAAAATCATTCTCCAAACAAAAACTAAATTAATCAGCGAAGAAAAAGCCGAAAGACATTCAATTAATCAAAAAGTGATCAAGTGAGACATAAAAGAGGCATATTTAGATTAGTTTTACCAGCCTAGGAGCAATAAGAGATGCCAAGGTAATGGTCTTCTCAGGTGGAGGTCCAGGTCTGTTACTGGCCATCGCCGTTACCACCAAGGAATCCCCCGATGGAACTGCTTTGACTCTCCCTTTGTACCATCCCGTTCTCACAGCTGCTGGTGCCGCCATTCTCAACGGCTAAGATCTACAACAAAATTAACAAACAATTCACTTTCAACATCAGTATTTACCCAGACAACAATAAAAGCATTAATAACAAACTAACAAAACATTATTCAAACTAAATATTCCAGATCTGTAACATAAGATCAAAATCTTATCAAATGATGCATGACGGAACACTTAGAAATAATAAAAAAACAATTCAAAAAAACCTTGATCGGCTACAAAAACAATCAACAAAGCATTTGAATCGAGATCAAATTATTTTCATCTTAAATCAAATTATGCAATGCAACAATAAAAAGAGATACAATACAAAAAATGATTAAATTTTGATTTTTACCTGGATCAAACGACGAAGCCTTTTATTGGATCGACGGAAAATTGAGAATGAAAACTTTTATTTAATTAATAAAAACAAACTTATTGTAGAGAAAACATCAATTATTAATTCTTTAAAAAGAATTAAACCGGGTAAAAGAAGACAGGGAGAGGCGGCGATCAGAGAGGAAAAGCGGGATGGAAGATCGTGCTAAGAAGGGGATATATAAAAGCAGAGGAAGACTTGAAAATAGACTTAGTTTTGGAATAAAATTACACGGAATGCCATTATATAGATACCATTATGAAATTGACAAAATTGATGATGATTTGGTTGGATTTGATGGATTTAGATTTTTAATTAGATGTCTATTGTCCGATTTGTCCCTGCTCAACTAATAACCCATCCCAATTTATGACACTCCCTTATTTTAGTTAACAAATAATAATTTTGTAGCATTATTTTAATGAAAATCAGGAGTTGTTGAAATCTTTTCGGCATCAAATGTATTTAAGTACAATAATTTTATATTAAAATAATATATATTTTTTAAATGATCTAATATGATATTTGTTTTTCAATAAAATATTTAATATGACCTTTATTTTTTAATAAAATATCTAATGTGATACATATATATTTAAATTATTTAATATAATATATCATATTAAAATATCTATTATGATACAAAAATCAACTGTTCATTAACCAACCATTAGACTAACTTATATGTTTATCAATTTCAAGATTTCTTTTAAAACTATTAGATATTAAAATCCTAATTGAAATTTAAGTTATATATTGTTATAATACTATTGATTCGGTATTATTTAATTATAACTTTTTACGAAATAAAAATTCTTAATAATAAATAATTTAAGCCTATAAATAGAAAGAAACTACTTTTAGAATTATAAAAAGATTATTTAAAGAGAGGTATTTCTTTTTCAATTTCTATAATTATTTAAGTTTATATTTTTTTTGAATTTATAGATATTAAAAGAGTAATTTATGATATTTTATATTTTAATATAGATATCAAATTTTATTTTTCATTTTTAAAAGTTTTTGATTAATTTGAAGTGATTATAAAGTAATATATGTTTAATAGACTTTCAACTATTAAATAATAAACGCTCAAAATATCCCTCAACTCGAAACATCCCTACAAGTGATGTGTTAGAACTCGAAACTTCTAAAGAAACTCGTTACCTATGGAAATAACGTTCATCTCTTTGATTGTTAAGATACTTTACTTATACAGACGCTAAATTTTAGAATACATAAAACATTATATATATTTGTACATTATATAATTATGAGTTAAAATCTACTTACACAATGTAAGGGTCCGTTTGTTTCACTGATAATATTTTTCGAAAAATGAATTTTGAAAAATAAATTACATTTTTTAAAAATATTTTTCATTGTTTGGATACTGCAGTGTAAAATGTTTTCTGTTGTTTGATTAATTTTTCTGAAAACAATTTATGTAATATGTTTTCAGTAACAAGCATACATATATTTCATATTTTTTCTTGTTTTAAATTCACTTGATCGAATTAATTTTTTTAATATTAAGTGGAATTTTTAGGAAAACTTAGCTCTTAATCTTGGGGTCGTGGGATCGAGTCCTATGGTAGGCAATTCATAATTTGGAGGTTTCCCACAGGAGCTGCTCTCAATCTGGTGTTGGAGGCAACCTACTATCCTACCTCCCCCTTACCCCATTACATATGGAAAAAAAGGTCTGCTAATTTTTTTTAGGAAAACAAAGAAAAAAAATCTAATCAATCAAACTCATCATATATATATATATATATATATATATATATAAAATTCTGATTCAACTGATTGATTAAAAATAATTTAATAGGGTATAAGAAAAACATATAACACCAATTACACCCTATATTAGAACAGAATTAAGAGACGATGATAGTAAATAATAGTATCCAAATAATGAATCAATAACAACATATAGAGAGAGATGCCATCTAAAACAAAACTTCAACTTGAAGATGTTACTGTATGAACAAAACACAGAACTAAACAATGATTCTTCGAAACATAAACATAAGTTTGGGATACTCAGTTCTGCTTCACAATAACCTAAGATAGAATAGGAATACATTTTCATGCAGTTAGGTAGAGTAAATTGAAAGAATAAATACGTCTTTAGCTACGGAATATAGTGCTAGTTACCACTGCAAGCATTTCATTCACTCTATGTCGTTATTTTGAACGTGTATGACAACATTACATACAAAGACTGGTTTGGTTGCAACAATAATAGCTCTTTCCAATGATGGGGTAAGTGAAGACCATGCATTCTGGTTTTTCTCTTCGTTTTTTTAGTTTCTGGTTTACTTGGTTTTCAAGTTCACCTTTCTATATATATATGAACCAATAACCTTTCATTGACCCAAAGACACAAAGCCACAAGAACATAAGCCAATTATCTATGATTCACCATGCATGCCAATTATGATTCATAATATCCAATTTTATCAAACAATCAACACTTAACATAACTCTACTCCCATCCAATTTTACCTTTGGTTTGTATAATAAATTTGAAAAATTTATGGAATAACTAGGAATTGTCCTCATTTGATTACAACATCAAATTCCAAAATCACAAAACCCCATTTCTTACCATTGAGAGATATAGAACTAATGTCACCATATTCGGTGCTATTTTTTTAGCACAACAATCATTTTATTAATATTAAAAATATCATTGGACAGTGGTTCAAGTCCCTAGTTGAGGGAAAGCAAAATCATCAAAAGTGTCACGATAAAACGCTAAACACACCTAATGGAAGCAATCAAAGCATCAATAAAGTCCCCATTTCTAACACCAGTCACGGAACAATTGACCCAACAGCGATGTAATATCCCACTGCAATTGAACCATTCCATACAATGGCATCCACCTTAGATACTCATCAATAAGATATACCAATCAAAACCATGAAGCTTGCTTAAAAATTAAACATCAATACTCAGATGCAATTGGTTCATCTTGGCAGTTTATAAACAACGCATAAGAAAACAAACAATAACTAACAATAAATAAGTAGCATGTCTTATAACCGAGGAAACATTCATAAGTCTAAAAGAACAAAATCATTGTGAATAGATATTTTAAGTTCTATTATAAGGTCTCATTAGCTCTACTCTTCTATGTTTCACACATGAAAGCAATAATCACAGAGACTCAAGGAAAACCCAGAAATAATAAAAAAAAAGTAGATTATGAGATTTCTTTAGCTAAAGCGAGAGGTTATCCAAGGTAGTCGAACGAAATGAGAGGAAAAGATAGTTTCTGACTCGATCGGGAAAGCTTCTGGCTAAGGGATGGTGAAGGTATTAAAAGGCTGTGAAACGAGAGAGACGAGAGGCTAGACAAAAGAACCGGGTTGGGACGAAAACAAGGAAGGAAGCAAAGGATCTGAAATTACAAAAGGAGTAATATATATTTTTGGTTACCCGAGAAGATGATGCTGACCTCAGTAACCGTCACCGGTGAGAAGTCGATAGTTGTATTTAATCGGACGATTTTGAGTAACAACTTAAAAGGTGAAGCTAGAAAATGACTTACCCTTTTCCAGATCGTAAGTTGTTTTACAGGAAAAAAAGGTCATTTTCTTTTAACCAACCACTTTTCCTTAAATCAAACCCAGGAAAACAGAGAAAACAATTTTCGTAAATTATTTTACTTCAAACAAAGACCCTAATTTTTTTTAATCTTACATAGATTTAAGATCGCTTGATGAGACGATCCTAAATTTATATAAAACTAAAAAAATTCCTAAATTTTTTGTAAAACTAGAAGAATTTTACATTATTTAATAAGATCTTATCCCTATAATTATTCTTAATATCTGTCTATCCTTATTCTTATTATCTGTCTATCCCTATGATTATTCTTATTATCTATATAAGGTAAGACTAAATAATCTCTTGTACATATCTCATTTTCTATTAATTTTATTTGATTATTTTCTATTCACAAATTAAAAGGAATGAAATTATTAATACTTGTATATGATAAATCAATTAGATGATATGAAATAAATGAAATTGTGATGGGTGAAAGGATGGATTAAACCTGCAAAACTTTCTGCTCATAATTGCAATTTCATTAGATCATCAACTTAAGTTTGCCTACATTCTTTTACCGGCGATGATGCTTAAACAGAATCATCATATGGTAAAAAGAAAGAAAAAGAAGGAAAAAAAGTTTAAAAGAGTCTCTAAATGGGGTATCAATTTAATCATTCCATTTTCAGTGATGATATTATTCTTAGACAACACGTTGCAGTCCAAAGCTGGCTTCAGAATCGGTAAACACTGAAAGGTTTCTTAATATATACTCTTTTACAGATGCAAGCTTCTAGGAGGAATGGGAACGGCGGAGGGATTCGGTATCTTGTCATTTGGTCCGAGATCATCGATTGGGGGGCGCTTCTTATGGTGATCTGTGGCAGACTGGTACGCCATTGCCAACGCTAATGCCTGCATTGAAGAAACGGAAGGAATAAGATGAGACGCCAAATAGTTCGGTACCGGATTTCTGATAATTGTTACGATGGATACGTTAGATAAACTAAAAGATGGCATGTTAAAAGAATGTGGATGAAGTCCACGGATTAGGGAGGCTTACAATGTGATCGTGGTTAGGAGGAGCATAAATGCCGGTGTTGACCGTGGTCCGTCTACGCGTACCGGTTGGAGGTGAATTAGATATGTTTTTGAATCCTGTCGGAATAACAGTTACCGGCAAACCTACAAGATTTCCCATGCATACTCGCTCCCAATCAGTTGCATTTCCAATGAATGCATCAACGTTGAAGTTTTCTTTCACTTCTTGGATTAACTTTCCTCGAGCTCTTTGTGCCTGTAGAAAATACATAGAAATACTGAATGTATTAAACGATCAGATGAGCTATTATTAGGCCTTAGCCCCCTTTTACAATGCATTCGAGCTGATGCTCTGCATCTTAAATCACCATGTCTAATCCGAAGACTGGTTTTGGTTTTCCAACTCGAAGTTGAAAGTAAGTTTTCTCTTCCAAGTTCCAACAGGCTCATTAGAAAACATGTTCAAGCTATATGATTTCATCCAACCATCATATCAACCAATAATCAGAGAGGAAACAACAGACCTGCATATAATCTACGGCTGAAACTACACGTGCACGACGTAACTCAAGGGGCCATTGATCTTGAGCTTCGTAATCATCATCCCTCCCAGAGCGTTGCCATTCATCAAAGTGAGCCAACATGTCAACATCCATTGTGAAATTTAGGATGCCTTGAACAGAATCGACAGTGTACTTCAGTTTGAAAGGAACCGCCTTGACACCTTTCGACTCAAGCACATGAACAACCTGGTTTTAGGAAAAGCCAGAGAATATTTACATCTTATCAATGTTACAAAACTCGTGATTAGTCAAATGTTTATGAAATATCACCTCCATGTCAGCATCATCAAGATAACCAACTGTAAGCTTTGTGATATCAACAGAGAATGGGTCACCAAAGGGAATGTCTCTTGAAGAAGAATCATCTGGATCTTTCCCTCGGATGGCATCCAGAATAATCGCACAATCAGCAGCATATCGGCAGAATGGACCGAGCTTGTCCTGTTACAAGGAGAGCATAGAAAGTTATTCAAACGTCACTCCCACAGTGGAAAGTGGGGACAGGAAAAGCACTTTCAGCCAAACAAGATTCTTCTGTGTAGTAATATTACCAAGCTTTCTGATATGCTCATTACACCGGTTCGTCCAACTGAACCAAAAGTTGGCCGTAATGCTGTCACACCACACCGAGCAGCAGGGTAAGTAATGGAACCAGCTGTTTCTGAACCAATTGCAAACGGAACCATCCCTATTACGTAATTGAGTTTCTTAGATTAAGCAATGTACATCTGGTTTGCTAGATACATGTATAATAAATGGAAGTTAAAATCAAGAATACCTGCTGAGGTGCAAGCAGCAGGCCCAGCTGACGAGCCTGTAGAGAATTCCTCAATGTTCCAAGGGTTCCTAGTCCGACCGCCAAACCAGATGTCATCATAGGCCAGTGATCCGGAAACAAGCTTTGCGACAAGAACTGCCCCTGCAGATTTTAACCTGCATCAAGAATTCATAATAGTGAACAAGGTAATCCGACTAAAAACCCTTTCCGTGTATAGATCACAAAGATTTCTCGGATGTATAATACCTCTTATATACCCAGGCATCGATATTAAGCACTTGATTTTTGAAAGTTTTTGAACCCCAAGTTGTCTTGTAATGAGGTACCGAGATTATATCCTTCAATCCGTAAGGGATGCCATGGAGAGGTCCTAAAACACCAACTAATTTATAACTCTCAAGCCAAGAAGCAATTCGGCAATAAAATAATATAACAAGACTTTGTTACACAAACCGGCATTTCCCGCAACTCTAAAATGTTGGATAAGTAATGTCACCAGGATAATAACAAAAAGTACCTAAATACACTCCTTGAGAGAGCAACTTGTCTGCTGCTTTTGCTTGCTGGTAAGCTAAATCTTCGGTATTAGTGACCACGGATTCAAGTACTGGATTGTATCTGGTATTTTGCAGTAAAGAATCAATGTGTTTGTGGGACGAAAAGATCATTAGACCACATAAATGCATAAACGTAACTGGATTTTTTATTACCTTCTCAATCTCTTCAGAAAAATTCCTGTAAGCTCCTCAGAAGTAATCTGTTTGTTCTTAATAAGTTCTCCTAGTTCGAGAACCTGATAAAGACCAGGAAATATCACATACAAAAAATTGATAATAACCATTGATTCTATTTTATAACAGTGATCGACTGACTCACACTCATAAAGGCTATATCTTCTTCATTATTTGGCCTTTGGATGCCGGATGGTGAAGGATGATTAAACCGGCTGGCCTTGCCTTGTGACTGCTCCGTGCTCCACTCGGGATTAAAAATCAAAGGAGAATGATTATGCAGCCCTCCATTAACGGAAGCAACTAACTTCCTGTTGGCTCTTATTATAGGGACATTGAACTCTTTTGCACCCTTCGCAATCTCAAGAACCTGGGAGAAATTATCAAATTAAAGACGATAATCTGAAACGAAATCATAAAGTCGAATCCACACCTTAGTATCGTTAAGGAAATCGGCATCCAATAAAGGCAATGCAGGTCGAATTTGTGAAGCTTCAGTAATGCGTTTCGAACATTGGCTGCCATTTTCACTGTCCTGACAAAAGCACGAGGAAACATCCATATAAACAAGGTAAAGAAATAAAGTGGACACTCAATGCCTTGCATAGTTGCATTTGCTCGTGATGTTTCAATACGTGGATGCAAGGCTACGAGCATGAACCATAAGGTCCGCAACTTTCTGACGGAACATACCGCAGATATTTTTACAAGTTTTGACCTGTTTTATCGATGTCAGGTAAAAGGGGGACAATATCTCCTATAAAGAAAAGAAAGAGAAGATAACATATATGATCTATATGAACTATGATCATAAAACATCAATCACATCCTTTAAAATTGTGAGGCACAAGATTCTTCTGTTCATACTGAGAACAGTTCTTTTTATTAGTTTAGATAATTACAATCTAGTATTAATTCAAAATTTTCTTTGTAAAAGTGATAACAATATTCCCTTTTACTAGCTTAAAGGGTTATTGAGAACAAAATTTAAGCTAAAAAAGCGTAACTAGGGATGAATATGGGTCGAGTTGGAATGATTTTTGGTCCACCCGACCCGAGAACAATGAATCTTCCCCTGAAATCCGACCCGACATGCATAATATATACCCTCCACCCGACTCAAAACCGATCCGACTTTTTAAAATAAAATTCGAATCCGACCTGACCTAAAATAATAAAAAAATATTATTTTTATTCAATAAAAACAATGATTTAATTGAAAAAAAAATAATATATAAAATTGTATTATTGTAATTATTCATAAATATATAAGGTAAAATTATATTTTTTCGGGTCAAGTCGAATAGTTTTTACCCTAAATCAATTTTTTTTAAAAAAAGACTGCTGCAATCAAGTTATAGATCAGTCTTAAAAATTGCAGGCTCCAATGGCAGCCTGTCCTCTACAAGTTGTTAAGACTTCGACTAGATTATGGCAAAAAAGATAACAGTATACGGCAAGAGATTGTACCATTTCTTTGTGAGCGCTACTTGCTAGAAGGCGATGAGAAGGTAGTAAAACAGCCGACTCCGATGGTAAATATGCACATGAAACGGCCAAGAAAAAGAAGAGCTGGGAAACGAGGGAGGCCATGAAACGTGTCGAGCACCTCGATGACATGTTCCGACACTTGTCGAGGAACCAAGTCGCCATGTTACCGGCGGTTGTTAGGATACCGCCAAGGATTTTTCGAGTTAAACTTGCTCGTGGTTTAACTTAAATTAAGCTTTGAGTTGTGATAAGCTCAAGTGTGAAGGCGTTGACTTAACTGTGGATTAAAGTATTTCAACCGGCTCGCCTGCCATGTTTCTTGACCGGCATTTGGGCTTTAAAATTCGCGCCACATGTCTCCTCTGCATTACTTAATTTGCATGATATAAAACACTTATTGCTTAAACCCTAAACCTTGACTTGATCAATCCAACTAAATAAAAATATGGGGTAATTTACATAAATAATCACTAATATTTGAAAATATTTTTGTTTTTCTCGTTAAAGTTTTAAAAAATAATAAATTAATCATTAATATTATTGATTTATAACAAATCAATTATTAAAGGTTAACAACTATTATTACTGTAGTTGACGAAAAATTGACGCAGCGTGTTAATCATCGACCTGGCATCATTTTGACCGATCTTTCTTTTCCTTCTTTACGGTTTTTGTTTTTGACTAATCAAAATTCATCATTTCTCTTTAATTTTCCCTCTTCATTCAATCTTCATGCTCTATACATGCACTGCTCTAAAAGAAAAAAAAAATCAGGTAAGAAAGCTAAACGACCACTCAAACATCTTCCTCAGAAATTTCTCTCGGCCGAGACCAACAAATTGCCAACACCGTCGCTCAACGGCGCTCCTCAATCCTCCGGCCACCACCCATGGTGTTCGGCTTACTAAAAACGAACCCCAAAACTCTAAGCTAACTCACATCCTCCTCTAGAAAGTCGAAACCGACGCTCCATGAGGCTCTAAACGCCAAAGACTCTCGGCCAAACACAACCCGACGACGACTTCAAACCCTCCTCCGGCGAGAATCGACTAACTAGGTAAGACTATACTTTCTCCTCTTTACTGTTTTGTTCGAATGCCAAAGAAAAGAAAAAATAACAAAAAACCGTGAAATGAAAATGATACCAAAATCCAAGAAACTCACTTTTTTATATATATATATATCTTTGAAAGGCTCTCTCTCAATTACAATGAGTTTTATGGGTTATATATTAACTCATTTACATGTTTAAAACAAAAATGATTATTGTTGTTTATTTTGCTTGTGAGCTGTAACCGGGACGTGGAGCATTGGTGGCCGTGTGTGTGGCGGCTGAGCTAGAACGAGGAGGGACAGCTGGTAAGGTGCTGGAAGCTACTGGATGGAGCAGGGATCAGCTGAACAGTTGTCGTTGTTGAAGAGCTGCTGAAACGTGGAGCAAGGGAGTCCACGGCTTGGTTGGGGTGTTGGCAGCTGCTGTGTGGTGCGGAGAACCAGCTGTCGTTGGTGGAAGCTGGTGGAACGTAGAGATACTGGCGAATGCTAATTGGAGCAGGGAACCAGCTGGATCAAGGTAAAAATGGTGATTACACTATGCATATTTTCTTCATAAGATAGGGAGTAATTGGTTATGCCTTGTTCTACAAACATGAAGGAGACTGTGTTCTCTTAGTAGTTGGTATTAGGTTTTTTGCTGCTCTTCGCATTTTAGCCGTCTTCTAGTAGCAAGATCTACTGTCAGTAAATTTAAGAAAATATCTTTTTCTATGGCTTTTATGGCAAGAAATTCGCATCTCTTGAGATTGTAGCTTTTGAAGGTGCTATCCTTGAAGTAACATTCAAATGCCTTGATATTCTAATGATCATCTTTAATTTATTGATGAAACAAAGTGAATACTGAATGAAGATTCATCCATATTATCGGGTCAATTGCACATTCTAGTTTCTACATCATGTTTAAGGCCCCGGAGCACCAGGTTGCAGGCCACCTAGCCAGTGATGGAAAGCTTGGCCCCCTTGTAGATGATTCGGGACGCCTCTACAAGCCTCTCCAGGGTGATGGACGTGGCTCCAAGGAGCTGGCTTTCTATGAAACTTTTTCTTCCGATACACGGGTTCCAGACCACATACGCAGATTTTTTCCTGTTTTCTATGGCAGTCAACTTTTGGAGGCATCAAACGGATCTGGCTTGTGCCTCCACCTTGTCTTGCAAGATATAGTATCGGGTCGTATTAATCCATCTATCATGGATGTTAAGATTGGTTCCAGAACATGGTACCCTGGGGCATCTGATGACTACATCAAAAAGTGTCTTGAGAAGGATGGAAGAACCACCTCTGTGTCCCTAGGTTTTAGGATAGCCGGATTGCGGCTCTACGAGGGAAAGGAACCAGGATTCTGGAAGCCAGGTAGGAAGGAAGTCCAGTCTTTTACGGTTGATGATGTTAGATCAGTTCTGAGAAGATTTGTTTCATCAAATTCTTCTATTGCTAACGAGAAGCCGGATTGTTCTTTTGCTCCTAGCATATATGGTGGTTCTACAGGGATTTTGGAACAATTATTGGAGCTGAAAGCTTGGTTTGAGGATCAAACGATTTACCATTTCCACTCATGTTCACTTCTCATCTTGTTTGATAAGGAATCTGTTCTAAAAGGAGGTACTCCAGCAGCTGAAGTTAAACTCATAGATTTTGCTCACGTTCTGGAAGGTAAATGTGTTATTGATCATAATTTCTTGGGTGGACTCTGCTCTTTGATAAAGTTTGTTTCTGATGTTCTCTCCGATCCAAAGGAATCCCCAATCACAGCTAACGTGGAATGCGAGAAGCCACACGTTTTTACTAGTAACGGCAATCGAGTATAGAGCCATTTCCGGAGTTCGTAGTTTCTTTTATGCTTCGTTGGACTGTTGCTTCTTTTCTTTTCTTTTGCCCCATGAAAATTGTGATTTGTGTTAGACCATAATTTTCTTTCAGGCTCCTTCTTAATTGTTGATAGAAACTGTTGTTTTTGTTCCAATAAAAATTTTCAGAAATTAAGATCTCTGTCTATCATTTCTGGCATGATACTGTATTTTTTTATCTTATTGACGACGCATTACAGACACAACTGTTCAAATCAATATTCTCTAAAGAGAATAACATTTTTTATACCAAATCCGTTCTAACTTAACTAAAACCTTTCGTGTATAGATATGCGACTCCGTGCCCACAAATTATTTTGACCCATGTCATGTTGCTTCTCCAAGTTGCATTAAGAAGACTAAGGCTAACTGTAGATTGTTTTGCTTTTCCTGTTATAGCAAAGAAAAATTGCAGAGTCAATTAACATGGGAATCATGTTTAGACAAGTTGAAAATACTGGGCCCATGTTAGTCATTTGCTGTTGTTTTCAGGAAAGATTGAAGGGAATTGTCAGCAAAAGAACACAAGCCCAGTATTTGAAGCATACATAATCTTTTCTTTAAAGCAATGGAATCCATATGAAACCCAGTAGTGAACTCCAAGCCTGCCTGAATAACTTCCGGTTCTTCCAATCTCTAAATGTTTACATATATAAACCCTGCAATAGAACAAGTTGATATCCACAGTTTCATAAAAGAGGGGGGGAAACCGAGAATGAATTCGACTCTTGTTTTCTTCATCATCCTCTGCATTACTTCCATTGGCTTTTCCCTGGCGGACAACCATAATCTCCAGGACGCTTGTCCGACCGATATGACTGCAAAAGAAGCCGTGTTCATCAACGGTTTCCCTTGCAAGAATCCTTCAAGCATCGCGGCTGCAGATTTCAAGACATCAAATCTGAAACAAGAAGGAGATACGGACAACTTTCTCCTTTCCTCGTGAATATAGTCACTGCTGCAGATTTCCCAGGACTGAACACACTCGGCCTATCGATTGCTCGAACCGACCTCGACCTCGACGGCATGGTAATGCCTCATTCTCACCCCAGAGCCACCGAGTTGTTCTTTCTCCGCAAAGGCATCGTTCTGGCCGGTTTCATTGACACCAACAATACTCTCTTCCAGTCGTTAATCAAAGAAGGAGATGTCTTCTTGTTTCCCAAGGGAATGATCCTTTTTGCTTGAATGCTGGTTATGAGCCGGCCATTGCATTCTCTGTGATGAGCAGCCAGAACCCTGGTGTGGTGAGCATTAGTGGCGCCATCTTTGAGACTGACAAAGAATTCAAAGATAGGATCACAAGGAGATTGATCTCTGCTGGGGCAACAAATATGTCCAACTTGTCAAAAATTCATATCCAGTAAAAGCCTTTGGAAAACACATGGTATTTCTACTGCTCGAGCGAAAAATGCAACCTTTGGTTTAAAAAAAGTTTATATTGTTCGAGTGAATTGATTGTAGAAAAGAAAGGTTCTTTCTTGGGATTTAGTCATAATTAATGTCTAAATCTTGATTGTACTATTTTGTTGTAAATGGTATTGTGTTAAATAATGGCATTTCCTCCCCTATATTCCAATCCTACTTGGTACTTTTGTATCAATCACTTAACTAACCAACTGAAATATTATTAACAACTACATCTTAGAGGTAGAAGAGTATTGTTTTCTTTAGAGATTCTGAATTTGAGCAGCTACGATTTATGTGTTCTTTGTCAATTTATTAAAAAAATTAAAAAAATATTACCTTTTAATCACTCTTCACTAATAAAAAATTAAAAAATTATTATATAATTTGACAGAGGTCAAAGTCTTCCATAGCTTGGTGAAAAGAAGGCTACAAGTTCTAAGAGATGAAGTTGTGGAAGTTCTGCTATACGGCAGTCTAATTTAAGGTTAAGGAACGATAGGGAATAAACGTAACCTAAAATGTTAACCTTTTCGGAAATGTTACGAAGAAGGTGTGCAATCGAAAAATTAAAAAAAAAAACTAAAATTTTAGGTTGCGGCCAACTTTAAATATTATATTTTTTTTGTAACATTTTTGGTTTTACCCTTCCTACCATTACGTAGACATTCCCACGACATGGAAGAGTCATTGCAGGCTCATTTTATCTTTAATAATTCTAATTTAATTTTTTATTTTAATCACAGTTCAAATTAAATATTAACTTAATAAAAATATAATAATTATATAATTTAGTTCAATAATTAAATATTAAATTTTTTAATGTACCAAAAAAAATATTAAATTTTTTTGTTAAAGTCTTTGATTTAATCTTCCCTTATATCATTTTAATTTTATCATAAAGTATTGATAAAATTTACTTAAATATTGGTTTTAATGGAATTCCAATAAATTTTCAACCTAGCTTTGTAAATAACTGAAGTATAGTACATGAATCAAATCTATAACTTTTACATTGTTAAAGGACTAATAAAAAATTTAACCTTTACATAATTCTTTTAACATAACATGTTATTGATATAATTTTTAAATATAATATAATGTACATAATTTGTGTTAATTTCGGAATAATAAAAAAATAATAATCTGATTCAAATTTTAAAGAAATAAAATGACCACTCATTTAAGTGATAAAAGTGTTAGAATAATAAGTTTAAGGCCTACTGTTTGAACGATAGCAACGGTTGGGCCCTTGTGGCGCGCGATAGAGAGAATATCAAAGCCTACCTTGTAGTTTGTTACTTTGCGCACAAAGAAAAACCAAAGACTCCATGAAGAATTTGAATCCTTTAATTCGAAAAATGGATGATGAAATCGCAAGGTGGAGACTCTTTCAATGAGATTGGTACTCTCCAAGATGACTCCATGACAGTCCCACTCAATACGATTTTCCGGTAACCATTCATCTTTTTCTTCACTTTCGAGAAACACCCAGTTTTCTGCTTTCTTCGTTTCTCTTCTTCGTTCAATGTTCAATCTACTACTTTCTTGAATCAATTTGTTGTTTTTCCTTTTTGGGTTTATGCATTTGCAAAAGGGGGGTCGCTTTATACCCAACAGAAGTCTGATGGATCTTGATAGAGCCCACGGTTTGCTGACCAACAGGACCACGCAGTTCAACACTGGTTCCAGTTTCAATGTACCTTTTCACCATTTGTTTTGGAATTCAGAAATTTTATAACGAATCTTGATTGAAGATGGTGAAAATCTTGAGAGAGAGTTGATTTCTATTTTTTTTTTCAATCTTGATCGCTTGGCAGGAAGCATATCGTCAGAAACTGATTGACAATCTGTCTTTAGATTCTCAAGGGAGACCGTTTAAGATTATTGTTTTTAGGGGATGCCCGAAATTGTGTCGAAAATCTATTCATTTCGTTGATGAGTTGAGACAAGAAGTTGCAACGATATTTGATAAGGATTGCAAACAAACTCCATACAGATGCATTCCCAAGGTATTCAATTCAATGCCAAACACTTTCAGCCTCCCTGTTGTTGTGTTTTCGATTCTAGTTAGAACACATGATTCGGTTCATCCTCCCGAATATTTTTCCCATGGGATTTTGAGATGCCTACTCCGATCGTCTGATTTGGTTGTGTGCTTACATTCAAGGTATTGTTCTTTATGGACATCAACCGGCCTCTCAAGGATTTGTCACTCGAAGGCATTCATCCCTTGATTGAGCCAAGGACTTCTCATGTATGAGAGATCCTTTAATGGACCAAGCTACTTGGCTCAACACAAATCCTTGAGGAACTGATGGATGCCTTAGAAAAACAATACCCTTGATGTAACTGCATGCACGAGGTGACAGGTAAATCACTGTACTTCGAGTGTCGGAGGAAGGCATCTTGAAACCAAGTAGTTACATCCTAATTTTATCAGATGCATATTATTGACAGATGGTAGTTTGGAACGATCATCTTAATATTTTCTTAAATGAAATCTATGGCCTCCTATTTGTGAACTGTGGGATGTGGTTGTAGGGAGAAAAAAGGGTCTTGGATGCAGCGAGGCTTAGAAATGACTACTATGCGAACATCATGAGTTGGGGTAACAACAACATTCTTGCTGTCGCCTTGAGTCCGGAGCTCTGCTTACGAAACTCCGAGGACCAGAGGGTACAAAAGTTGTTTCAGGTCCGTGGGGGGAATGATTGGCCTACGAGTGTAACATGGTCTGAGGATGCCAGAACTCTAGCCTTTGGATACATGTGCTCCAGTCTTCAGCTCTGGGATGCTGAGTCTTCCAAACTTGTACTTTCTTTCTCTCTCTCTCTCGTCAAGATTGATTGATTGATTCGAGTCTCTTTGAAGGTTGCTTAGAATTATGAACTATGGATATGTGAACATTACAGATCAGAAACCTTGATGGTCATAGTGGAAGGATAGCATCCACAGCATGGAACGGTCGCATTCTAACATCAGGAAGCAGTGACAAGTCCATTATTAATTATGATGGTATAAAATATTGTACTCTTACACTGAATGATCTGAACATTTCCAGGAAATGTCTCTTAATATACGTTCTGACTTGCAGTTAGAGCAGCAAACAGCATGGCTTCCTGCATAAAACAGCATGCTGATGAATCAACTGAAGGTAATAGATTGGCAAGTGGAGGCAATGAAAATCTGTTATACATTTGGGAAGCTCCCAAAATGAGTTCATCGAAATTTCTACATCGACTCAGTGATCATTGTGCAGCTGTCAAGGCCCTCGCTTGGTGCCCTTACCAGTACAATGTTCTTGCCTCTGGGGGAGGCTTGAGTGATGGTGTATTAAGATATGGAATACACAAAAAGGAATCTGCATTAACAGCATAGAAACCAAAGCACAGGTAAATTAGAACTTTGACCATTTTTTCCCTCAAAATCTTTTTTATCTGCAGAGTTTGAAGCATGCTACAGCAGTACCAAAACCGTAACCGGATTGAACATACTCATGTTTGGCACATGGCTCCAATCACACTCGAGCCTGAGTTACATAGCTGTACCGAGACCATAACCGGATTGAAGCATGCTATGTTTTGTGGATATGCATTAACCATTTGATTTACATGGACAGATTTGTGAGCTGGAGTGGAACAGACATCACAAGGAGATACTGAGTGGCCATGGATACAGCATAAGGGAGAATCAGAACAAACTGTGCCTGTGGAGGTACCCTTCAATGACCAAAGTAGGGGAGCTAGGGAATCACAAATCCAGAATTATCAATCTATGACAGGTTTTAACTGTTTTAACTTTTTTAACTTCGAAAAGTTAATTCGGAAAATTCCATGAAAATTTGAAGGTTTCCATGTTTGTTTGGTGTAGAGCCCTGATGGAATCACAGTGATATCTGCCGGGGCAGACGAGACACTTCGATTTTGGGACGTTTTTGGACCCCCTACTCCTGGGAATTTAATGGTTTCAGATCTTCAAGGTCTTTTGTCTTTCAGGACATCTCCATTACGGTAAATAGCATGTGAAGCAATTGTTTACAACATGCTGGTATCCTGTAATTTATTTAGGTCATTGTTAGATACACAGAACTTTTACTGAGATTATTGAAGGAAATTAGTTCATGCAAGTATGCCATTAACAACACAAGCGGACTCACGGCATCTAGGTGGTGAAACGTCTAACATCTAAGAATATTTCTTAACTAACTAACAATACTCATCTTGAGAACGTAACTGTTCGAACTCAAAACCTTTAGAGAGAACAACACTCTCTATTACTAGAACTACCTCTCTTTAAGTTCGAATATATTATCTAATTATTATTTTTGGCTTATTTATTATCTTAATGATATTTTTCTTTAATTTTATGCAGTTCATATACATTTCAATTATTATTAATTACACTATATACAAACAAATCAGAAAAACCAATGTCGCGTAAAATATTATACAAACGAAATAAACACGTTTATCATATACATTAATATTCAACACATATCTCCGTATTCAGACAACATAGAGATTCACGTCTTAACAAACCTAAATATATTTTTTATTTAAAGAAATTTTCTAATGGGGCTACTTGAAAAGAATAAAATTGCTTGGAAATTTAAAAAAGTTGTGACCACGTGATGATATGATGTACTTGTAAATTTATTCCTGGAAATTCCATATATTATTAATTTTGCCGATCTGAGACCCACAATGGAATGTGTCCTACAACCTTATGCTTGCCTTGTTGTGCCTACAAATTATGCCTCTTATCTCTGTTAATAATGGCAGCCCATTGGCCTTACATGGCAGCCGTGACGTTTCTTTCAAAAGAAAAATGGGAGTGTACAAAGCACAGGAGCTTCCTCAAATGAATCAAGCTACATGGCGAAAGGTTTTTTATACACATCATATGCTTCACTGGCTGTCAACTGCGGTTCCTGCAACACAACATCTAACATCAGTAAATCAGAGAGATTTGATCTACTAAAACGAATTGAATTGAACGTGTTTGGTGTGATTACCTGTCTCAATCTGCCACCGAGACTCCCTCCAGCTAAGAGCATCGTAAGAAGAGATGTAACGAAGCCGCCGTCATCTGCGTTACGGATGTTAGAACGCATTGCGTTCAACATGTTACCGTATGTGGTTGCATGCCCGCGTTCGATGGCTTCGATGAAGGAGTAAGTCATTGCACCAGTGGAAGTAATCTTTGATAAGGCCTGTTTCAAACGGCATAAACTGAACATTTTAGAACTCCAAATGATCTTGGCTTCAGTTCCGAATTCGGTTGAAATTACGACATTACCGAAGTGTCCGCAGAGATTTGATCGTCGGCACAGCCACTGAAGGAAATGACTTCCCCACCATTTGTCCCTTTCCACGTTCCGGTCCGAGGTCGATGATCCTCCCAGACATATTTCCCCTTCCTATATGCATTACCTAATTAGTATAGTATAGTCACAAATATGTTACATTACACATGAAATATTGAGTACCTGTCCATTTTACAGAGGAATGGTAAATCTAACACGGTGCCGCTATGGCAGGCGTCGATGATGGCGTGGAGCTTAACCCCGTGCGGTAGAGGCCTAACGATCGTCGCGTTGATTTCATCGTCGACGATCATTCCCTGAGATTCGAAATCGGTGGGACAAATGGTTTCGTCGTATCCGTCCACTTCATCTCCATTGTCATCCTTTTGCTGTGAGCCATGACCAGAGTAATGGAACACTAAGGAATCTCCAGGCTGACAACCTTGGACAAGCCAGCGCAACGCCATTCTTATGTTGCGTTTCGTTGGCCGCTTGTAGGGATCAGTTTCTTCTTCTGCAAAAGATATTCAGATCAGAAGCAGTCTCCATTATCAAATCCACATACATACATATTCCATATGAATTCAACAATTGGAAATTTTCCAAAATAACTTACTGAAAGGATTTTTTTTTTTGGTTACCTGTAAGGGTAATAACGGAGGACTCGGGAAAATTGAAGCGATGAACCAACAAGAACTTCATGCAGTTGGCGTCGTTAATACAACCATTAAGTTCATACTGGGTGTTCTTATAAGACACACCGCAAATAACTGCGCGTTTGCGGCCACGAACCTGCGGTGGGGGTCCGGGTGGCGCGTGGTTGTAAGGTGAAAGAGGAGGGTGTGGGTGAGCAGAAGAGGAAGAGGGAATGGGTAGGGAGCGAGGGTCTGCTATGAGGGTGCTAGCTTGGCAGAGGACGCAGCGTATGGACTTCGCAGCCGGCGGAAGCTGCAGCGGCGCGTGGCAGTTGGAACAGTTGACCACCATTAGCATCGCTTGTAATGATGAACAAGAAGCACTGAAAGAGAGGCTTTTGATGGATAGATAAGGAGTAGTTTGTTGTTAGTAAAATAAATAAAGTGGGAATGGTTTGAATATGAATGTGAAACCTTTGAGTGGAAAGGAAGGTGGGGAGGAAGAAGGTGGACTGTGACAAGGCTGACTTATGACCAATTATTTCCTCGAAACTGAAGCTTTTAAACCTTAACCTACTACCTTTTAAATATATATATTTTTAATCCCGTAATATTAAAGGATAAATTCATCTTTAGCTATCAACATATTGTTTCTTTTTTTATTTTGATCATCAAACTAAAACGTTACTAATGTTACATGTTTTCCCATTTTGATCACCGACTATTTAAATTTTAATGATGATATTGACATGATTTCCTTTTATTTATTTTTTAATTTCTATTTTATTTCTTAGATTTTTTTTATTTTTTAATCAATTTTCCAACACAAATAAATCAACGAAAATATAAATGATGTCATGTGTCATAATCGTATTGATCAAATATAAATATTAAAAAATAGCATATAGACTGATAGAGAGAGGATAAAAAATGACATGTGAAATTAAGAAAAAATAAAAAAATATCATGTCTACGTCGTCGTTAAATTCTAATGGCTGATAACCAAAATAAGAAAAAAGACAACACTAATAATGCTTTTACTTAAAAACTTAATACAGTAGTCCGAATAGGAAAGAAATAATAGGTTGGTGACTACTAATGAGTTTACCCAATATCAAATCAATGTGTTTTTAATAGGGTAAATTACATTGTTCCTCACTGAACTATATTTTCTCTCTTATTTTCCTCAGCCAACTTTCATTTTTTTCTAATTTGCTCATTGAACTTTATAAATTGAATTATTTTGCTCACTCCCCTGTTATCTCTATAACGCCGTTAACCAATAAACTGAAGGTGGTTGGATGCCACTATCGACACCATCAACCACCGCAGATGATGGTCGTTCGATCTCAAATTTCATGGGTTGCTTCACCTTAACACCATGAGTTCGAATTTGACCTCCATTTTTCGAAACTTGCTCCAAAGTCCAAAAATTTAAGATTGAAAGTGAGGAAGCCGAAACATTTCAGTTCAGATTCACGGGTTTTGGGACATTTTCTGATGAAACAACCACCAGATTCGGACTCAGGGGGTCGAGATGAACCGACCCATGAAATTTGAGACTAAACAGCCACCTTAACAACGATGGTTAGTGGCCATAATGAAAATGGCGTGGAGGCCGGCGGCGACAACCGATTGCAAAGTAGAGAGAAAGTGGGAGGAAGAAAAAGGAAAAATTAAAAAAAAATGGAAAAGAAGAAAATGATTTTATAATGGATTCGAAATGATGTCGTTTTGGTGTATATTTGAGTTTTTCAAAACGACGTCGTTTTGATGCTTATGTCATTTCTTGTACCATGTCATAACACCGTTAAATAGTTAACGGCAGAGTGATCAAAATAACTCAATTTATAAAGTTCAGTGAGCAAATTAGAGAAATTAAAAGTTGGGTGAGAAAAATAGGAAAGAGAATATAGTTAATTGAGGAACGGTGTAATATACCCTTTTTAATAATAGTCAAGTGTGTTTTAACGGTAGAGAAAACCTTCTATATAACAAATATATATTTATAAATAGTTTGCATACAAAATATTGGTTTTATATTTGATCCTTCAAAGTTTAGTTTTTTATTAATACTATAAATCAAATATAATAATATTTATTACTGTTTGAAAAATATTTTTTTATTGAATTAGTTCATCACATTAACTCAATTAAAGATTTTATATAATACAAATGACTGTTGAGAAATTTAACCACGTTCATCGATGAGACCTTATATAATATTGTTATGAAATTAATAATTTATTTAAAACTAGAGAGAGAATTTTAAAAAATTAATATTCATCTTATCTTTTATATATGTAACACACAAGATTTTCATAATATTTCATATTTAAAAAATTTCAAAATCACAATCTTTAAGCTAAAACTCAGTCCACAATATTCAGCTTCTTATTAATTATAGAAGTTATTTTATTAAATATTAACTTTGATAAGGAAAAACAAACATTTGAGTAAATGGTTTTTATTTTTATTTTTTTGGAACGGTAGATGGAATTTGACTAATGTAAATTTCCTTTGAAGTTCGTATTGAGTAAGTCATCACGTTTTTTATATGATTTTCCTTTATTATTTTTATTATTGTTTTGGTGTTTTCAAAATAATATAAAAATGTGGACACAGTCAAACTTTGTGCGAAAAGAGGAACGAGTCCGACAATTACATGCAATAGAATATGGAGGTATTCGTTGAGAATAAAATTCTAAATTAATTAATTAATACCTTGAATACTGTGAGTTTAATTATGTTTAAAATATATTATTATTTGACTTATAAAATTTCACTGATACTGATGAATGACTTTAATATAATAATTGAACATGATAATATGTTTATAATTGATTTTTCACGATTAAATCACAATACAGATAATACGATTATAAATACTTATCGATTTGAGAGAATCAATATAAAATTTTGAATATTTATTAATGTGAGGAAATCTACCATAAGCTCAACCTACTTTTGAGAATCATGGTAAAAGGCCAAGAGCAGCAACCTCTGGTGTTGCAGAACTAATTAAAGAACTCAAAACAAAAAAGAAGTCTCATCTTGATAAGTCTAAAAGTTATATTGTTGGTAGTAAAGAAGGGGAATCAATTCCCTCATCCCAAGCTAAATGATTATCTCCTTTTGGAATGTTAGAGGATTAAACAATCCTCTAAAACAAGGCAAGTTCCTTAGAAGGGAAGCCCTTAATAAAGTTGATATCATTTGCTTATTGGAAACCCGAGTTAAGTTAGACAAATATGCTGATATATTAGCTTCAAGTTTTGAGAATTGGAATTTTTATTCCAATTATGACTACGCAGTGAATAAAAGGATATGGTTATTGTGGAGGAAAGACTTAAATACTTCTTTATGCCATGTCTCGGCTCATAGTATCACTGTCAAAAGCTATTTTAAAAACAACCCATTCTTAATTATTGCAATTTATGGTTGCAATGATGAAGTTACAAGAAGAAATCTTTGGCAGGATCTCCGAAGTATAGAATCAAATTTTAGTAATCTTCCTTGGATCTTGGGAGGGGACTTTAATGTCATCCTGCACCCATATGAAACTTCTGCTCATGAACAATTGGGAATGATCACCTCTCCTGATATGATTGAATTCCAATAAGTCATCCAGGACCTTCATCTTCAAGACCATCCATTTTTTGGTCCCACTTACTCATGGAGTAACAAGTAAAATGATAATTTTCTTGCTCGTAAACTTGATAAAGTTCTCATCAACCCTCTTTGGTCTGAATATTTTCTTCACTCCTTTGTGGAATTCTTGGCTCCTGGCCCCTCTGACCACTGCATGGCTTTAGTGTCTCTTCACAGAAAGGTACAAACTAACAAACCCAAGCCTTTTAAATTCTTTAATTGTTGGACTCTCCATCAAAACTTCCTAAATATTGTTAGTCAGTCTTGGTCCATGCCAGCCCAAGGTAGTCCTATGAAGAATCTTTTTCTCAAACTTAAACGCCTTAAAGTTAGTCTCCAAAATCTCAATAAATACTACTTTAGTGACATCTCAGCTCGGGTCAGACAAAAGATAGAAGAAATTGAGAAACAACAAATCCTTACCTTAAGAGGTGTTGATCCCATTGATAAGGAATTAGAACTGCAAAGTGACCTCAATTCCTTAGAGGAAGTCGAGACAATGTTTCTATAACAAAAAGCAAAAATTCACTGGCTAAAAGAGGGAGATAAGTGCACCAGATTTTTCACTCTGTCATTGCAACAAAGAAGAAAAAAGACACCATAAGGGTAATTATTGATGAGCAGGGAAGAAGGCTTGAGTCTTTTGATGACATGTCCTCAGAAGTTGTTAACTTCTTTAAAAAACTATTAAGCTTTTGTGATCCTAAAGTTAAAGAATGCTCTATTAGTCTTCTTAAAGACCTCTTGCAACCTATTCATTCCCCTAAGGACTATGATAGCTTCACTAAGGAAGTCACAACTGAAGAGATCAATGAGGCTATTTTTAGTCAAGGAAACGACAAGGCTCCAAGCCCTGACGGTTTCACCTCACTTTTCTTCAAAAAAAAAAAAGCTTGGCTTGTGGTAGGAGATGAAGTGATAGAGGCAATAAAATTTTTCTTCCATGAGTCTTACATTTATCCAGCATTTAATGCTACTACTATTACCTTGTGTTGAAACATTTTAGTATTTCGATATAACAAATTAAGTTAAATGGATTTTAAGATTTTCCAAATGATTTTCTAAGTATATTCGATATAACTATTCGAATATCAAAACATTACTCCAAATATTTCAAAAATCATTTTTTGATCCTTACTTAAGTGTAAAATTAAGTTTTAATCATAAAACAATTTCAAAATAATTTTACAAAGTATTTCGAACCAATTCAAAGCCAAAAATTCCAGATTACTCAGAGGGAACCGATTCCCCCCCATAGGAGGAACCGATTCCCCCCCTGAATGGTTTGGCTCCGAGATTTCCAGAATGCTCGGAGGGAACCGATTCCCCCCAAGGGGGTACCGATTCCCCCCTGTTCAACGGTCGAAATATTTGAATTTTACACTTAGGGAACCGATTCCCTATGAGGGGGAACTGATTCCCCCCACGCTCCAAGCTGTTTTATTAAATGTTTTCACACTAAAACGGCTATAATATCTTCTCTAATTATCCCCAACGTTCAGAAGTGATCCAAGGTGTATTTAAGCAAGCTTAGAAGCCATTGATCAAAAACAAGAAATATCAAGCAACTAGAATCAAGAGAGAATCAAAGAGAAAGCATCAAACCTCAAGTTTGAGCATTTCAAGCCTATTTTCATTCAATATTCATTTTGCTTTCAAGAACACTTTTTGTGCTCAATTGTATTCATCTTTGAGTGTTCTTTTCTTTGTTCTAGAATTGTGCAAACATCTTACCTTGTGAGGTTTTCTTGTAAGTTTGCAAATTTG